TATATATATTAGAAGAGTACTCGTACAATGTAGCGAAATACATCTCAATTTTAATGTTTCGTTTTATTTTTTTTATTTCAGTCGATGTTATAATATGGTTTTATATAGTTTTGAAAAATCGATAATATTTTTATTTTTGAATAAAATATAAATATGAASATATCATAACAAATTGAAAAAAAATATTGATATTAATATCAAACTAACTATTTGAAATTTCTCCTTTGTTGTGTATTTCTTTAATTCATTTTTTTTATTTTTGGTTTAATAATATAATTTTTTATAAAGATAATGATCAAGTATTTTGTTATAAGTCAATGATATTATATCTTAAATTTTTTATATTTAAAATGAGATATTTATCCTCTATTTGATTATGTTTATCACAGTTAGCTACACGAATTCAAACATGAAGCTTTAATAAGTTGTACTTACGCACAATTTACTTGTAATCTTGAATTTTAAGTAATATGCATCAATAAACAGTACTTTATGTATAAAATATGATTTTTAAGAGTTTTTATCAAATGTTTTATAATATAGTATAGATATAGCAAAAATGAAAATTTGAGTAGTTTTAATAATCATTTTAAAGGTTTTAATTTCGTTTTTTTCCTTCCCCTTCTTCTCATTTTACTTTCCCCTCCTTTCATTTTCTTTCCTTCCGTTTGTGATAAAGGTTTCAAGAACATAATGTCATATAGGCTTGTTCATCGGTTGACATCCATTGGATATGAGGGGAACCGAACTGATCCAATCATCCATTGGATGGTAGATTTTGCCAACCGGTCCAATCCAATCCAATGGATGATTGGATCGGTTCGGTTCCATCCATTGGATATTTTTATTGGATATCTATCAGATATCCTGGATGATCTGATGGGAGTGGATCCATCCAGTGTGTTAATCCAATCCAATTCTCTAACAATGATACAAATTAATTATTCACTTTTAATATATGTTAAAACAAATACAAGGGAAGTTAAAAATTCAAAGCCTCACATAAAACAAATTCCGATTTAAGTAATTTGAAAATAAATTAATTAGATGATAGTTGTATAATGGTTGGATGGACAACTGGATGATTAATTGGATGTTGGTTGGTTTGGTTTTGGTCGGTTTTAGACTGCCATCCGGGAACTGAACGATGCAAATTGAATGTTGAAATTTTCAATCCGATCCGATCCAATTATGGTCGGTCGATTCTAATTGAATCAGTCGGTTCCAATTGGATCAGTTGATTATCTACATACCCCTAGCGCCATAGTTTGGTCAATGACCCTTTAGTATCAAGTAACATGTTGATGGGGATTGTGTGCAATGTCGTATTAAAACCTCATGAGTTTGCCCAATATATTCCACATTTCCACTTGTAAGCGTGCTATAAAGAAGGTAAAATGTACACAGACCTAACCTATATATAAAAAATAGAGTTGATACTTTTGTAATAGAATAGTCATTTTTAGGGATCAAATTCATCTCTTAGTCATTTCTCTCCTAAATTTTCAAAAATATCATTACCTCCACAAGCGGCACCTCTGTTACTTATGGAGGAGCTAAAAAACAAAAACAAAAAACATTCACTTTTCATCTAGGTCCGCAAGTGGGTGAAAAGTGATCCTTTTTTTTCCATTCAGCTCTTCCGCAAATCACTGAACATATATGCCGCTTGTAGAGGTAGTAATATTTTGAAAATCTCAGATAAAAAATGACGAACAGATGAATTTGATCTCTGAAAATGATATCCCTTTTTGTAATATTATATATATGCTATTGTGATTAGAGTTACCATGCTTAATACTTTGTGCTTTATGACCGTTGGATGTGGTTCCCCTTTGGTATAATTGTACGATAGTGTCGTTTAACTATGGATCGGTTGTGCACCTAAAAGTCTTCAAAGAATTGAAGATTGTGGTCCAATTGGACCCAATAATCAAAGGGTTATTGCCTTGTCGTTTAACCACGTATCTGTTTTTAAGAATTCATTTAGGGGTTGTTTACCAAACGCTTACCTGGGTAAGCGCTTACCAAGTCATATTATCATACCGGATGAATAAGGTAAGGACCAAGAATCTTACCCGGTAAGAGGGAGACAATGACCGATAGTCTTACCCGGTAAGTGAGGGCGACGACTCTTACCATGATAAACGCTTACTCTGTAAATTGTTGCATACGATGCCGTTTTGGTGGACTAAAGTCTTACCCGGTAAGTAAATGGTAGTGTTAAATTTTACTGGTAAACGCTTACGGGTAAAATTTAACACTATTATTTACCTACCCGGTAAGATTTTAGTCCATCAAAACGTATCGTATTCAACAATTTACTCGGTAAGCGCTTACAGTAGTAAAAGTCGTCGCCCTCACTTACCGGGTAAGACTATTGGTCCTTATCATCTTCATCCGATGAGGTAGTGTGATTTGATAAGGGCTTACATGGGTAAGCGTTTGGTAAATATCCCCTTAATATTGATTTAACCAATAAACTAGAGGTAGCAAATTGGGTTACGGATCAGACGGTTCGAACCGATTAAGACCAGTAGGGATCGGGTATGGTTTGACAGTTTAGAACTGGTGACAAATTTTATGGAATTTCAAAGCCTGATTTGAGATCGGTTATGTATAGACTTGTTTTTCATTTTTTTTTTAGGTTTTATTAATTATGATACAAGTTTTTAAGTTTTTTTTTCCCCTAAAATTTCAAGTTTAAAAAGTAAATTTATTAACTTAAAGTTTATTTCAATGCTAATCTTTTTGAAAATCGTAATTTAAAAAAAAACAATAATAATATTTTTGTGTAAATTTTCCTTTTTAAATATTTTAAAACTGAGAAGCAGGGGTGTTCATGAATTGGGTTGATCGGGTTGAAGACATTTGAACAACCCAACTCAATACTTGCGGTTTGAAAAATCTTAACCCAACCCAAACCGTACGGGTTGATACTTTGGTACATTAAAATATTCTTCTAACCTTGAATATGTTATTTCTCTACTCATCATTTTATTTTCATCATCAATCATTTGATACAACTTATTCATACTTATTACGTATATCACATTCAGTTAATTTTCTCAATTTACGTATGTATATTTACAGTTACTGAACATATATACGAATGAGTTATATAGAGATGTGAATAGATTGAAAATATGTGTATATGAATAGCGTACGTGATAATGTAATTGTCTAGTCTATATATTAATAGAAATTCAACAATCATATTAAATTCAAGAAATAAATGGATATCAGGTTTATCGGTTTGAGTTGGGTTGGGTTCAAATAATATTAACTCAATATCAACCCAATACATACGGTTTAAAAATTTTACAACTCAGTTAGACATCGGGTTACTTCAGGTTGAGTTATTTCGTGTTGGGTTGGGTTGGATTGATCGAGTTGGTCGAGTTTTTAAGCACCCCTATCGAGAAGGGTCTGGACCGGTTACCAGGCCTAGAACCGGTCTTAAGACCAGAACTATCGGCCTAATTCTATATGCACCGATTTTGTTATAAATAAATATAATTTTTTTTAAAAAAAAATTAACTTTTGTTTCGTTATTTTAAAGAAAATTTTGAGAAAGGAAAATTGCATCAGAATGGAGCCAACTTTCACCTAATTCCTATTTTGAGGAAACAACTTTCAAAATCGTCATTTTGGGGAACTAACTTGCACCTGATTTCTATTTTGGAGAACTAACTTTCA